TATATATATATATATATATATAAATGACCCCAAACTTTTGAATGTTAGGGGTTTAGACTGCAAACTAAACAAACAATTAAAAATTAAAAATTTAATTTAATTAAAATTTAAACAAACAATTAAAATTAAAACGTAAAAAAACAAAACTGTAAAAAAAAAACTGTAAATACATTTGAACTCAATAATGACCACCATGACCCATCCCTAGTTTAGTGTGGTATTATGTGCAGGATGTAGTTCACTGACAGGTTCACATGTATACACATGCATAATTACACACACACACCCACATATACACAAATCTCTTTGTTTCCTTCATACATGTGGAGACATACAGTACAGTGCAATAAATCAACACTCCTTAAATCTCTGCTGGGCCGTTTCTGAATTGGCTATTGAGTGTCATGATTCTTTCTTTTATCTTGACTAAATAACTCTTGATAAATGACTTCCCAAAGCACGCCAGTCTGCAACAAAAGCTTTTCATATTTTTAAATGCAAAAACAGGCAAAAGGTTGGGCGTCCTCATCTTTATTCTAAAACGTGCTGTATGAATGAATGGCCTTAGTGTTTAATTCAATGAACTGAAATATTTTACCCTGTAACAAACTGAATTAAATTGACAGCTAAAGAGAATGAACATTTTGACATGTCAAATACAGCTGTAATTCTTGTGTGTGTCACATGACTTAATGAAAGGAAAATGGACACACTGGTATACACGGTATTTGGCGTCTGTGATGCTAATTTATTAAATTTTTTTTCCAAATATTTTTGTAATGTTTTATGTCCACCCTCACATTCCAAACCCACTTTCCTTTTACTGTGTAGTTTAGCAGAATGCCTTGGCTGCTTCTTTTCTATACAATGAAAGTGAATGATGGATGCAGCCAAACTCCACAATGCTTTAGAAAAGTCTTCTGAAGTCATATGATAGCTTTGTGTGAGAAAATATAAGTGTTTGCTGAGCGTCATACAGGTTTTAGAAATATGAAATGGGAAGTTGCAAAATGGCAAAACTTGCGTATACCCCCAGAAACCTACTGTTCATTTGAAAAACATTTGCATTCCCTTGCAAAAATATAACACTGGAGACATTGTGATTGGAGGAATTTTGCTGCAATGAAAAAAATTTATTTATTTATTTATTTTTTTGCGTTCTTTGCGTTCACTCGCAAAACTTTGAGTTGGCTCACAAAACTTTTGCTTTCAAATAAATAATGCATTGCTCCGAGAAAAGGTGATGGTATCCTCCTAAAGGGATATTGTGATATACATTTTATTTTTATTTCAATGCTTTTGCTTTCCCTCAGAAAAGTTTAGTGTTCCCCCAAAAAACTTTGCATTCGCAAAGAACTCAAAAGGTTTGCAAGTGAACGCAAAGTTTCTTGGGGGAAACACAAAACATTTGAGAGAGAAAAGCATTCCCTAGTGAAAAATAAATATACCAAACTGTATTTGAAATACATTTATTTTATGAAATGTATACTACTAATATATTTACATATTTATGTACTTATAAATACCCTGAAATAGTACATTTGGTATACTATACGAGTATAGTAATATACTTAAAGAACAACTAATTTTGTGTTTAATGCACTTTAGTTATGCAAAAGTAGTAATGCCGAGGTCCAAAGATACTTAAGTACATTTGATTTTGCTATTGCAAGCATTCTTTAGGTACACTTTAAATATCTTGCATTTAAAGACCGATATTATACAGTGATCATACTACTAATTGTGATATTAAAACACATCATATTAAGAAATGTGCATTGTGCAATAAAGAAGAACTCCAAAAAAGTTTAATTATAATGTTTACATGAGTAAGTCTCAAGCAAAATTGTCAGTAAAAATGTTAAAGGATTGTATATTTAGTATAAAGTAAAAGTATTTTAAATACAATTTGAATAGACTTTTTTCACAGGGGTTGACTTTTTATTTTTTTGCTGGGTTATTTCAACCCAAATTTGGGTCAAATATGGACAATCCCAAATGTTGATTTAAAAATGTAATTAAAAAATGTACAGTTCAAAGCTGAGTTTATAAAATTTTTAATTACATTTTTAACCCAACATTTGGGTTTGTACATATTTCCCCCAATTTTGGGTTAAAACAACCCAGCATTGTTTAGTTATTTTTCCTCCCATCTCATATTTTTTTCCACCACCATGAACCTTTAGGGGTTCTGTATGATGAAAGTAAAATGAGACTGAAGGAAAACGTTAGTTTAACGTAAAGTTTGTTGGGGGAATGCAAAGGTTTTGTTTGAAAACGAAAAGTGATTGCAAAGTTTCTTTGAGTAAATGCGTATTGGAAGAAAATATGTTATTTGAGGGAAAGCAACACTTTCACGACCACATGCAAAGGCAGTGCAATATCTTTTTCTTTTCAATCAGATGAAATAAATGACAATATAATTTTTGAGTGAACTCATTCTTTCATTTAATGTATTTCACTTATATCCCAGATTTCACTATAATTAATTGATACACGACATACATAACTAATTAATAAGCCGCGCCACTCATGCAAATAAACACACCCCCATTGTAGGACCCTCACATACTGAGAGATCATTGTGTAGCAGTCATACATAAACCCATGCTCAATCATTGTTTTCTCTGTTATGTAATGGAGCCCATTCAAGACTGGTGAGTCATCTGGGCCGAGAGAACGAGAGACCAAGAGAGAGAAAGAGAATAACCCAACATATAATCCCCTGTGTGAAAAGCCCAGTGTTCATAGCAGTGGATACAACATTCTGGAAACTGACGACAATCATTATGGTCTCCTGTTCATAGTTAATCATCTCACATGGAAAACACATCTCTAGGTTTTGGGTTTTGCTCTCAGAGCGAGAAACATTGATGTCAAATGGAAAGCTAAAGTCATATGAAATATGACAACTCACCGGTTGCCATGATAACCACTTTTTTTGTGGTTTATAAACACCACTTTTTGTAGAGCAGCACATTTTCTTATTTGAACTCATTTTGCTTGTTTAAAAATGTTTGGTTCACTTGTTTGTGAAGATTTTTGCCCCAGTTATTTTGATGGGTCTTCTCGTTGTGGTTTTCACACGGTTATGGCTTGTTGGAAAGTTTGACCCCTGGTCATTGTTTAGTTATTCAATTGCCACAGCAACAGGGCAGGAATGTCCACATCATTGGTTTCAAAGTCCTAGGATTTTGGTAGTTGTTTCTGATTTTTCACAATAATTATTCTTAGACAAAGAATACTAAAAAAGTGTTGAAGCAGTGAAGCAAACTTTAAGAAGTCCACGCCACAGATTGAGGTTGAATGGTTGTACATTGAGCACAGAGTGTGAATATAACAAAGTCATCACAAAAAGCTTCCGTCCAACCAAATGCCCGAGCTCTTTAAAGCAGGGTGGATTTATTCATCAGCTGGAAAAAAAAAAAAATGTTTTGAAAGTGATTCCCACATATCATTTCACAGTGCCATTTCATTTTTTTATAGTTATGGTTGTGGTGTAGACTCTCAGACACAATCCTTTATTTTTAGAGCTATATTCTTTATCGTTCATCCTTGGTGTCAATGGGCCTTAAAGGGGTCATGAACTGGCTTTTTTAAATTGTATTATTTTGTTGTGAGGTCAACTTATGACGTTCGCTTGGTTTTTGCATTCAAAAACATCAAAATGAATAAGTAATAGGCTATTTTCTACCCTAGTTTTAAGCCGGTTTTTATGGGCGTCTCGCACTGAAGACTTGGAAATAAACGCTGCGAGTAGATAACAGTTTTGCATATTATAATGAGTTTCAACTCACCCGTCGGTGTTCTGAAAACGTCCAATGTTGTAAAATGGCAACCGGAATGATTCGCGCATACATGTTCGACCCAGAGTCCGTGTGTTGCACCATTCCTGGCAGATCCAATATAGATGGCACAGCACCGTTCTTTACTCTTAATCGGTCTGCAAATCCAGTCTTGTTTACAAAACAATCCTCAATGAAATGAAGCGAACAGACGGACAATGTTTTACCTCATCAGCTGGAACGTCATTAAAAATAAAGTTTAACCATGCAGTCCTGTTGGAATCCAGAGGATTTCAGTTCTGAAACTTACAGGATATTTTTATAATATGATGACCTCTTAGATGTCAAAAGCTCAAGGAAAATTCGATTTCTGAGTTCATCACCCCTTTAAGAGTGCAAACATTATTTTCATTGAACGCAATCAATGCGTGTGGTGGTGAGAGAGAAACATACTGTAAATGTAAAGCACTTATGGTAGGGTGGTGATGGCTCATTGGAAAGGCACATGCCTTTGGTGTAAGAGACCCGGGTTCGAATCCACTGTGAGACACCAATGTGTCCCTGAGCAAGACACTTAACCCCTAGTTGCTCCAGAGCGACCTCTGACATATACATACAGCAATTGTAAGTCGCTTTGGATAAAAGCATCAGCTAAATTAATAAATGTAACTCCTCTGTTGCTCAAAACGATGAATAGCACATAGCACGTTCTGCAACTGATTATTTAGGAACATTTCATTTTATTTTAATTTTGAAATGGTCCAAATCATTAAAATAAGTAAATGAAATAAAACACATATTCATAAATAACATAAACATAACATAAATTCATTTAACAGTGGCCCAGTCTTTTGACTATTATTTCATTGGCAAGTTTAAGTTGGGCTTTATATAAAAATTCTGATCTTAATTTCTTTTTTAATCAACTTTAATAAAGAACCCTGCAGTGGGGTTTGTGTTTTCTCATGGCAACAATGTTTTGACAATGAAGGGCTCTGATAAAGAGCTTTTCAAAATATATTTGAATTCAATTCAATTTCATTTAATTAGAAAATTACCCTAAATGTTGTTGTAAATCGCTTATTTAAATCAAATATGATGATTTATTACTGAATATTTTCCCTCCTTAAATGTGTGTGTTAACATGTCTGGCTGCATTGTCATGGAATGACTATTTTAATGCAGTGTGATGTACTGTGTGTGTTTTTTTTTTAGGCGGCAAGTCTAAGATCTGTGAGATTACTGGCTAGAATCCCTGCTGATGACATGCAGTCTCAGGTAAGACAAACGTTCAAAGCATCTGTTGAAATTCAAAGCTTGTTCTCTGCATTTCTCTAACTTATGTTAATGTGAAGTACTTTGCACTTGTACCTACTTATGATCCTTGGCAGCTCCTGGGCCGTTCGGCATCACCTCGAAAGATGCCCTGGAAACACAGAAAGAAAGAAACGTTACAAACAACCCATTACACAATGACAGGAGGAGAGAAAGAGAGAGCTATTTATGGACTAGACTTGGATTTCCATGAAAAAGCCCCAGTCCCTGTTCCCCCAGCTCACAAAGGCATCTCCATGATTTAACAATATACAGTTTCACCATCTGTGAGAACACGGGGATCTTCCCATGACCCCTAGAGTTCAAACAGAGAACAGGAGCATTATTCAGGTCACAGAGAGAGCAGAAAGTGAGGTATGGTGGGGTTCGTGTCAAGAGGGAGAGGAAAGAAGGTCAGGCAGACATTTGGGAATGCAAAACATATCCAGAAATGATAACCTAACCTGCTGCTATCACCACTCTGGTGAACTCATCAGGACCGTGTTTCCCTAGAATCATTCCTTAGTGAGGTTGAATGAGGGACCCCACTTAAACAGGGCATTATAATGAGGTAGTAATGTTTTGCCACTGACCACAAAGGGCCAATTTTCTGTGGAACATGGTCATTTTGATACTTAAATAGGGCAACAAACTGACTGGAGAGGTGATCTCATCATTGCTAAAGCTTGGACAAAATCTCAAAGCCCTTCTAATTGGTCACATGAAAAACATAACAATAAATATGACATAACACAATATAGCAAACGTGCACCAATGCTACATTTTTCTATATATCCTAATCATTTGTTAACAAACCCTTCATTGTTTCTGCCTTAAATTTATACATTGTTAAATTAATACATTATTAGCTAACTAACTGAATTGTAATGTGGACATGCATGCATTTTCTGGAAAGCTGCATACAAATAAATGTGAATTAAATTGAATAACATAACATAACATATAGCATAGCATAACATATAGCATAGCCTAACAACATAGCCTAGCATACTAATTATTTGGATCTGTATTATAAAGTGAAGATCATTGGAACTAACTAGTAATGACTCAAGTGTTACTAAAGACATTTTCTAAAAGTATACTAAAGTTCACCAAAAATCTCAAATCATGACTAGATCATGTAGTAACACTTGAGTCATTACTAGTTAGTTCCAATGATCTTCACTTTATAATACGAATCCAAATAATTAGTAATTCCCACAGAAGTATCTAGTAACACTTTAATCTGTGAGCTTACTAATTCGTTAATAAGAGTTTCTTTTAGTTAATAGTAGTTACTAGATTATTAATAAACTTTTTCAGTAGTTCTCTGGGAAGTTTAAAAAAAATAGAAGTTATTGATTAGCTAATAGTGAAGTACCACTTTCATCTGTGCGCTATTATTACTAGTTCATTAATCAGAGTTTCTTGTTAGTTAATAATAGTTACTAGATTGTTTATATTGTGTTACTCATTAGTTCTTGTGTAGTTATTCATTAACGAAGGAACCGTATTCTAAAGTGTTACCCAACATAGCATAGTATAGCATAACAACATAGCATAGCATAACATAACAACATAGCATAGCATAGCATAACAACATAGTATAGCATAGCATAGCTCAGTGGTTCATGTAGGTTGTCTACAAACCAGAAGGTTGGTGGTTCAATCCTGTCAAGGTGTGTCAAGGTGTCCATGAGCAAGAAACCTATCCCCAGCTGCTATAGCTGGATGGCGCCTTGTATGGCTGACACAATACAAGTGAAGTGTGTGAGTGAGTGAATGGGTGAATGTGAGGCAAATGTACAGTAAAGCGCTTTGGTGGCCATTGGGTCTGTGAAAGCGTTAGCATATAATAGTGATGCACAGAAACGGCTGATACAATTTTAAAAAGTACTTCTTACAGAAAAAAATATACTATAAAATAGTATACTTCATTGTGAACTGAATGAAATGCTTTCAGACACTTAGGGTGCTTCACACTTGTAGTTCAGTCCCCTTGGTTGGTTCTTTTGATCTAGACCAAAAAAGGAGGAGATACATTTAGTCTTTTTAGTTCGCTTAGCGTTCACATTGTCATTGTTGAAAACCAAACCTAAAAATTCAAAACATACAAGCAAAAACAAAAGGCTTTTATTTTGCGACTGAACATCCAAAACAATGCTGTGTGCTGGGCTAAATGCCCTTGTTCTTTGTGCATACATGTGATGATATTTTTTTTTTACAAGCTGAGAACTCATAAAGTGAAACCCAGTTGTGCTTGAGCATTCTGTCCTCTTAGGGTTGCGTCTTGTTTTGATTCGTTTAGAGGTCTTTGGTCCATGCTGCGTTCATATTTCATTCAAACCGTACCATAGTTCGTTTGGAAGTGGACTGAGACAAAGCTTTTGGATGGAAGGTTTGAATGGCAGTGTTCACACTTATGCTATTCAAATGAACTACACTAACAGAGCAATCGTGCCAGAGTTCGCTGTGCTTGAACCAAAAGTCTGAACACACCCTTAATTGCATGTTTTTTATGTTAAAATTAAAATGAATTATGGTTTAAAATGTTACCAATACAATTAGTTCAAGTAAAGCTTGCTTCTTTGATCCATTCAGGATAGGATTTAAGTACATATTTATATGTAATTTCATAATTACTCCCATTGTCTTTGAAATATGGTTAAAGTGTACTGCCAGGCATTAAAATATACTTTAATGTTATTTCTTTTGAAACTTGTATGTCATGTATTTCAATATTTAATTGCACATTTGTAATGATTAAGTAATTTAGTACATTTAAAATACTTTAAATGTAATTTTGAATAACACTTATGATCTATTATAATCTAATTATAATTTAGCCAACACATCAAAATAAGTGTGCTTTAAAGCATGACAAAGGATTATTAAAGCATAATGATTTAAAGTGTACTTCAAAATAAAACTGTTCGTTTTATACAATTAAGTGCACTTATTTTTCCACAAGTGTGGTCAATAGAGGAATAAACATTTAGCCCAGAGAATGGTGTAGTTACAGTGTCTAACAGCTGAAGCTAACCAGCTAAACCTTCACTTCATGTTTTTGTCTCATGCATTATTCATCATTTCACGGAAACTGTGATTCTGGGTCATTTAAAACCTCTGTTTTTCTCTCAGAAAAGTGTGGAGGTGTATGATCATCTAAATGGCTCGCGGATCATCTTCTCAGATGAGGCTCTTCCCGTCAGTGGATCAAGACAGCACTTCATGACTCCGGATATGAGCCAGGAAGTAGTTGTAATCTCTCCTGGACTTCCTACGCCTCCGTTAAGCCCGTTCCACCACAGTTCAGCCTCTACGTCTTCACATCAGGCAAGAGCATATCCGTAACACATTACTGTTGCACACATTCTTACATATGTGTGTTTGGAACTTCACTATTCATATACACTCGGATCCAAAGGTCTGAGATGTATTGAAAATCTGGGATTCTAAATCTAACTTATATATATATATATATATATATTAATCAAAATGTATTTTGAAAAAGTAAATATCTGACGTTGATCATATTGGGCTTATAGATGTTCTAATTTCCATGGAAGCACAAAATGCTCAAGAGAACATGATTATTATAGGTTTTACACAAACTTGTGGAGTTCATGCAGCTTTAGAGCTGTTGTCATTCAAGCAAAAAGGAGACATACCAAAATAATAATAATACTTTCTTACATTTCAACTTTGTTTCAACTTTATTTTCAACTCTATTCAGTTAAAAAACATTTTTATTGATTGAAATCAGATATAAATAAAAGATGGAAAAATTCAACTTAAATCTCAAATGAAAATGAATAAAATAGTAATAAAATAATAATATAAATATTATAAAAAAGGAATAAAAATGACAACGCACATGACAAAATTGTACTAAAATTAAAAACTGAAAATATAAAAAATTAAAGCAATTTAAAGTAGCAATAAATACTATAATAATAAATAAATAATACCCAAAAAAATCACTGCTTTGAGCACTGACTGACTGAAAGTTTTCAGGAACATCATTTGTATTGTTCTGCCCCCTTGTGGAATTCATTAAAAAATGACTCATACAGAATTCATCCTTTTTACAGTTTTAAAGATAGCAGAAGCATTTCTTTGCACATGCCATTTGGATTAATATTTTATAATGTATTTTAGAAATATTTTATAATTCAGACATTTATAAGTGCAATTTAAGTGTCCAAATGTGTTATGATATCACATTAAGTTTTAATGATTTAATGTTTTCCTATTTACTTGGATTCTCTTTAATTCTCTGCTAATTCACTGTGATTGTAATACTGTATATCCCCGACTGTGAATTAATGTAAAGGTCGCAGAGGTCAATGGAGGTGGATTCCCGTCACACAGTTTCGGATCCTACTATGGAACGACTCAGACAAATGGTAAATAATCCATGACTCAATCTGTCATATTAAGTGCATAACTTGACTGAATTAAATTATTATTATGTGCATCTTATCTGTGGTGATAAGTAAATAGGTACTATGCAATTCCATTTGTGTTTAATTCATCATCTCTCGTCCCTTTTAGTTGGATTATCCAATGGTGGAATACAGAGTGGAGGTTCTGCCACATTGCCCAGGACTTCTGCATCCCGAGAGGAGCGCTTAATAAAGTTCTCTGGAATCGGTCCTGTAGATGAGACGGGCATGCCAATCGCATCCCGATCTGTGAGTCCCTACTCTCTCTGAACCACTGCAATCCCAGAATGCATTTATGCTTCACACCTTCAGTGAGCTGGAAATTATGCCCATTTTATCCTGTTGGCTGTATAAACCAGTCATGCATGCATACTAGTTATCACATCACAAAACTGTGTAAGATAATCTGGTAATCTTTATCCGTAGGTGTAGATATAGAACATCTCTTGTATATTGTTTATTTTTAACCCATTAGCAAATAGTTTGTCTTTTTTAAAATAAAAATCTTACTGACAAGACATATTTAAGATATTAAATATTATATAATAAAAATTCAAGATGAATGGTCAGTTTTTACTCAACCGCATGTTGTTCGAACCCTGTAAGACCTTCGTTCATCTTCAGAACACAAATTAAGATATTTTTGATTAAATCTGAAAGCTGTCTCACTCCTCCATTGGCGTCTAAGGGACTGAAACTTGCCGGCCCCGAAAGGTTATTAAAGACATCGTTAAAATAGTCCAAGTGACTAGAGTGGCTCAATCTTATAGGAGAACTCTGGCGTAATCAACCTTATTAAAGGTGGAATACCTAAGATTTTATGCCGCTAGAGGGCGCTACATTCAAAACAACAACAGCGGCTTTGCTTGATGACGCTGTGGAGGAACGCGGAATGATGGGAATTGTTGTTTTCAACTCCACCGTGGATAAATCAGTCAGACGGGAATCGAAAATTAGTTGTCATGGATGAGGTAAAGCTCGATTTCTATAAATGTTGCGTTTAATGACATGCTTGTTTTTCATTAAACTGAAATAACCGCAAGAAAAGTCAGGTTTAAAAGTAAATTAGTTATCACAGATGTTACTGTACGAGTCACTGGACGAAGTGACTTATTTTTGTCTCAAATCGTTGCTAATGGATCCTGACTTCGCCCTATGCTGCAATATGCATTTAGTTTTGCATTCATTTACAGAAATCAGCTGCTTGAATGACAATAGCTGATGTTATTCGATTTTTCAGGTGAGATTCTCAATTCATTCAGTTAACGGATGCTCTGAGGTAAAGTTTTCACAATGCAGACTCAGCAACGATTGTATAACTGTACAGTACAATAACATAGAACAGACATTATCTTCCTTTCATGTCATTAAACATAACAATATTGCTGGCCATACACTGATGAGAAAGTGCGCGTCCCGTGTGCGATACCTGGAGTTGTCCTAGACGTGGCGTTTCTCGTCCGGTGTGCGACCCCCTTTACAGCCAAGAGTTCACATTCTGAGAATAAATGAAAAGAATAATTGTGCTCCATTCCATAACAAATGCGCGAAACAAGCTTACGTTTGTTGCTTGATAGACGCTAACGCACAACTACAACCGCATTTGTCCAGGACTACACGATTGACTGGCGACTCCCAGCTCACCCCTGCTCGTTTCCTTGGTTAAAATCAAAATTTCCTCGCGATTTAAACATTGTTTGAAACATTTCAAATATTGTAAGTTATCATCTTAACTAAATATATAACACTGGCCTTGTGATTTTGGGATATTTTAATGCAAAAATCTTAGGTATTCCATCTTTAAACGGTCTGTACACTCACAAAGTTTTTCAATGCTTTTTTGACAAGACATATTTAAGATATTAAATATTATATAATAAAAATTCAATATATATTTTCTGAAGATGAATGGTAATATTTTATGCAGTTGTGCTTCTTAAAGGGGCTATATGTAGAATTCAAAAGACTTTGTTATAGTGACACCGGTGGCTGTTGAGTGAACTGCAGACAGCAAATTATTGCTCGTGCACGTGTACAAGAGACTGAACACGATTTAGTGTCCCAATATACTTGTCACGTAGTGATTTTGTGTGTTTTCGTTATTAGTTATTGCCCGTCCATTATTTATCCCAGGTGTTTCTCATTTCTCACGCCCCCTTGTTATCTTGTCTAGCTCGTTTGTCATTGATTATTTAAGCCCTGTGTTTCTGCCCTGTCTTTGTTGGTTGTTGAATTTATGTGTGTTGCGTTGGTGCTCTCAAGTTTCTTGCTTCTAGTGTCTTGTTTTAAGTTTCTTTAATAAAGCTACACTGCGTTTGGACCCAGCCTCAGCTCTGTTTCTCCGCACAGCGTCACAGAACAACCAACCTCAATATGGGTCCAGCAGTCGTCAGCAACCGGGCTATGACAGAATACCTGTCGTCGGTCTTGCAAGAGGGCCAGTCTGTCCAAAGGTACGCGAAGGAGTTCCTGTCCATTAGCAGTCTGGGAGCGCTAGATGATATCCAGCTCATGGGCCTGTTTCTGAATGGGCTGGATTATGAGATCGCTCGATGGATGCCGCGGGACCTTGCCAACTGGACTCTTGACGGGTATGTCGCTCGGGCTCGTTACTTGCAGGACCTCTTCACTACTGCGCGCTTATTCTACTCGACACCTGCCGAGTGTACTTTACCCGCGAAGCCCTCGTCGTCTTCACCGCTGGTTCACGTCAGTCACGATGAGCCCGCGCTTCACGTGCGCATTGACGAGCCCGCGATTCACGTCAGCCCAGCCGAGCCCGCGCTTCACGTCAGCCCAGCCGAACTCGCGATTCACGTGAGCTCCGTTGCATTCCTGCCTCAAGAGTTTTCCACTGAGCGCGTGCCAGCCGAGTCAAGTGAGTCAACGGCCGAGTCAAGTGAGTCAACGGCCGAGTCAAGTGAGTCAACGGCCGAGTCAAGTGAGTCAACGGCCGAGTCAAGTGAGTCAACGGCCGAGTCAAGTGAGTCAACGGCCGAGTCAAGTGAGTCAACGGCCGAGTCAAGTGAGTCAACGGCCGAGTCAAGTGAGTCAACGGCCGAGTCAAGTGAGTCAACGGCCGAGTCAAGTGAGTCAAGTGTGTCCAGGTCCAAATCAAGTGAGTCAAGTGTGTCCAGGTCCAAATCAAGTGAGTCAAGTGTGTCCTGGTCCAAATCAAGTGAGTCAAGTGTGTCCTGGTCCAAATCAAGTGAGTCAAGTGTGTCCAGGTCCAAATCGAGTCAAGTGAGCACTGAATCTCCTCTTCAAGTGAGCGCTGAATCTCCTCTTCAAGTGAGCGCTGAATCTCCTCTTCAAGTGAGCGCTGCATCTCCTCTTCAAGTGAGCGCTGCATCTCCTCTTCAAGTGAGCGCTGCATCTCCTCTTCAAGTGAGCGCTGCATCTCCTCTTCAAGTGAGCGCTGAATCTCCTCTTCAAGTGAGCGCTGAATCTCCTCTTCAAGTGAGCGCTGAATCTCCTCTTCAAGTGAGCGCTGAATCTCCTCTTCAAGTGAGCGCTGAATCTCCTCTTCAAGTGAGCGCTGAATCTCCTCTTCAAGTGAGCGCTGAATCTCCTCTTCAAGTGAGCGCTGAATCTCCTCTTCAAGTGAGCGCTGAATCTCCTCTTCAAGTGAGCGCTGAATCTCCTCTTCAAGTGAGCGCTGAATCTCCTCTTCAAGTGAGCGCTGAATCTCCTCTTCAAGTGAGCGCTGAATCTCCTCTTCAAGTGAGCGCTGAATCTCCTCTTCAAGTGAGTGAGTTGTCCAGTCCAGCGAGTGTGTCTAGCCCTGTGACGCGCCGCCGCAGGAGGAGGAGAAGGAGGACTCGTTTGGTTCGCCAGGCCCCGGTGAGCGTGCCCAGACTCCTCGCTCTGCCGGCCCCGCCTCTGCGCCTCGCCCTGCCGGCCCCGCCTCTGCGCCTCGCCCTGCCGGCCCCGCCTCTGCGCATCACCTTGACTGCGCCCTTCAAGCTCCGGGAGACCTTTCCTGAACCCGTTTACCACCCAGAGGCTCCTCCCGTGAATTTCCCCAAGTATTTTTTGGGGGGGGGCAGTAGGTACTCTGTGGGGGCCATGGAGGCGAGGCTGTCATGGACCTTGCCTGTGTCTGCTCCGCCCTGGCCTCTGCCACGTCCTGCTCCGCCCTGGCCTCTGCCACGTCCTGCTCCGCCCTGGCCTCTGCCACGTCCTGCTCCGCCCTGGCCTCTGCCACGTCCTGCTCCGCCTTGGTCTCCGGCCCAGTCTGGTAGGCCCATGCTCTGCGGCCCAGGCCCGCCTTGGCTACCTCCTGGTCCTGTTCCCCTGCACGGGCCTGGCCCTCCGTCCCTCCCCCAAGACTGTCTCCGCTTCACCGCCCTCCTGAACTGTTTGTTTTTTGTATGGGCGTCGGGAGCCGCCCATAGGGGGGAGGCTATGTCACGTAGTGATTTTGTGTGTTTTCGTTATTAGTTATTGCCCGTCCATTATTTATCCCAGGTGTTTCTCATTTCTCACGCCCCCTTGTTATCTTGTCTAGCTCGTTTGTCATTGATTATTTAAGCCCTGTGTTTCTGCCCTGTCTTTGTTGGTTGTTGAATTTATGTGTGTTGCGTTGGTGCTCTCAAGTTTCTTGCTTCTAGTGTCTTGTTTTAAGTTTCTTTAATAAAGCTACACTGCGTTTGGACCCAGCCTCAGCTCTGTTTCTCCGCACAGCGTCACAATACTCACAGAGAAGTTCCTTTTCTTTCTTTGCTGAAGTAAAAAAAAAAAATGGAAATACATTTGAACGATTACTTTACTTTCGAACGAGGGAACATGCTGAAGCATTGTGCGTATGGATTGTGCAAATCTGATACCGGTATACTAAAAGTTTGGACGGGGGAGAGGAATTATTTTCCTTCCAGAAAATCTAAAAGCCAAGGGGAAAATGATTGGCGTGATCTAGCGTCTATGTGCGAGACCCATTCACAACTACTGGTAAATGTCGACATGCTTAACAAAAACACCCATTGCTTGGAAATATTGACGGTTCTTTGGTCATAATGATAACGTAAAATAAGACGATTAAAGAGACAAGACAAAGGCTCACTGACATACTTTAAAATATATTTCAGCATTTTGTTAATAGACGTCCTACTAACGTTACCCCGTACTAAGTAACTTAACCCAATCCGATCGCGGCTCTCCCGGTTTTAGTGTTATTCCACAAGATTTATTGATAAGCTGTTAGATTTATAATTATTACGATTATTTTCACATACCCTGCTGTGGATGAACACAGCTGTTCCTCAATTTGTGTTTTCCATTTGAACGGTCAGCGTATGAGGCGCTGCTGCTTACGCTGGGACTATAACGTTAGGCTTTAACTTCAATTTTTAAGAAATTATTCTCTAATCGGTTGCATATAATGTCGTGAATATATCCCTCAAATGCATACTGTAGTCCCTTTTGTCTTGCTCTCTCAGATATTTCACTTGTTCGCCGAAAATTACTAATTATCTCATTGAAATGTCTGATACCGGGTGCATCCACACTATAATAGATGGGCCAGCCGCGAAAGCTTGACAGGCATAGCAACAGTAACTAGGGAGGGCGGGGCTTAGCGAAGGGTCAATTCAAATGATAGTTTGATTATAACCTAACTAAATTTGAGACCATAGACTATATAGATCCGGCTTCCCTTTTCTTTGCATGACACTTTCATATTAGCCTAAGCCAGCGCGGTCTCATCCCAAGGCATCATTTACTGACGCTTTTGACATTTCGTCTACATCCAACGCACATGGCACCCTTTAGCGTCAGAAGGCGCCTCCTAGTAACCCTACCCCAGAACTAATCCTACCCATACTCTGTGCGTGTTATATTGATGCTAAAGTGTGCCATGTGCGTTGGATTTAGACGAAATGTCAAAAGCGTCACTATATGATGCCCTAGGATGAGAATGCGTTCCCTAAGCCTACAGTACAGAAGGTATCTTTCGACATTATCCTGAAGATTGATAACAACATTGACAATAAGCATTCGCTTCATGTGTCCGAAGAACTAAATGAGGCTCTCAAGAGCGTGCGTAATCACCTCCTTATGATTTTCCCGGCAAAAATGTCCCGAGTTCTACACATGTAAATCAGTCTGGCATTTCTAGACAACCTAAGACATCGGGGAAGGTCTCGTCTTTTTAAAGTTGTGATTAATACATGAAAATTTGTGCATATAGGCACTTTAAATTCAAAAAATTTGTTTAAAAAACAATAGAACATTGTTAAAATAAATGCATATGTTGCTCTTCTTTGTGTATTCTTTATTTTAATATTCAAGTATTTGATTTTTAGAGCTTTATTAGAATGCGTTGTTGAGCTTTTTTATTTCCGATAGCAATATTTTACTTGCTAACAATACAAAAATATGAATAACAAATATTTTGTTCAGAGTTTATGCCATTTATATGTTTTATTTTGAACAATGCATTTTTTTTTGTTGTCTTTCCCATCTCTTTCACCAGAGCGTAAACAAGCCTAAGGACTGGTATAAGAGCATGTTCAAACAAATCCACAAGAGACCAGAGGGTATGTGCTCTCTCTCTCTCAGAAACAACGAGGAAATTCCTCTCTGTTATTGTCCGTCACATTTTACATGGTCCAGAAAGAATAAAGCCAAACTCTGGCTTAGAAATTTTATACCTCATTTCTTGAACATTGTTAAACCTTTCACCACATATGGAACTCAATGAGAAAGTGCACAATCAACCCATTTGAAAGTGGAACCAGATATGCTTTACTGAGCATGATGGGATTTAGGATACACCACACTGTGCCTCTCCTTCATCATTTAACATTCTGAGTTAAGATACCGATTTTAAACTCTTAAAAATGTCAAGAGCACAAACCAAAATTGTAAATTACAAATAAAACTGGTTTTAGGACAACAGCATAAGAACGTTGCTGAAAAAGAGTGTTGCTGTAACACACTCACGCTGAAATTTATACAGTGCTGTACCACTAATTACTGTTACAAAACTTCACCAAAACCCTCTAGGACACTTGGCCTGAGTCCTGAGGTAGATTTAATGTTCACAGGTTTGCTGTTGCAGTTTAATAACTGGAAAAGCACTTGGTGTGGTTGAGTAATTATGAATGTGTAACACAGCTTTCTCAAAGTATTTCCATAGACATGTTGTTTGACTCAGACTTATTGAGCTTATAGAGAGAAAGAAGTTTAGAGCAGGTTGTCATGTGATAAGCTTGTGGTATCTGGTCTTTAAAATAGTACAGTAAGTAGTTCATTTAAATGACATTTTATTACACAGACAATCTGCCTTGTTGTGAATGTGATTGTGGTAATAGCTCATGGATTGCTCTGTGCTAACCAGTCACTGCACCACATCAAACCTTAGATATTGATATTATTATTTTAGCTAATAACTATACAGATGCAGGCAAATATATGAAGTTTAGATAAAACAGATAAAACATGTTTTCTTCGTTTAATGTATTTAGTTGATTATAGGGATATATTGATTTGGCATTCATTATGATAATTATGGCATGTTTCTTCCTTTTTTTTTCAATATTTTGTTGTTATGGCCAATAACTGATACACAATTATATTAAAATTCTAATCAATCTATGTTACCAGTAAAAAGTTTAAGGTTGAGGAGGTTTTATAATGTTTTTGAAAAAGATAAAAGTCTTTTCTGTTCACCAAGCTTAAGAGATTTTATTTGATATAATGCATGTATTGTTTAATGCTGCATTTATTTAATCAGTAAAACTAGAATGTTGTTAAATATTACTCAATTAAAACTGTTTTCTATTTTATTTTATTTATTTTTAGTTATATATATGAAGAGTTCAGATGCAAAAGCCTCTAAATGCCATTTGAAATTTTCTTCTTTAATGATGATTTTTATCAAACATATATATTTAAGTTCAGTAATTTCACTGAAATAACAATTAATAGGTAATTATCATTGCCATTTAAGTGAAATTACCGAACTTAAATATACAAGCTTGATAAAAATGATCATTCTAGAAGAAAATTTCAAATGGCACTTAGAGGCTTTTGCATCTGAACTCTTCATATATATATATATATAATTTAAAAATAAAAGTTATTCCTGTGATGTTCATTTTTATTCATTAATCTTCAGTGTGATCCTTCAGAAATCATTTTAATATGCTGATTTGGTGCTCAAAAACATTTATTATTAATGTTTTTATTTTATTTTTTTCAGGATTATTTGATGAATAGAAAGTTCAAAATAAACAGCATTTATTTGAATTTTATAAATTATAAATACTCAATTTTGATACATTTTCAGTGTCCTTTTTAAACATGTTGCATGTACTAACTATAGTAATAACAGTAGATTATGCATAATTAATTAAATAAAATATATTTAAATATATTTAAAATATAAATAATTAAATAAAGTGTACCCCAAAAATCTTACTGAACCCAATGTTTTTAATAGTAGTGCATTCAATTCTATACTACTATTTTGGCTAAATAAATGGTAAATAAAAGTTTAAAACTAAAGATTACATTGATATTAAATCAGTAGTGTTTTGTAAAGATTCATATTTATTGTTAAATGACAGCAACGCTAACTTAAATGTAGAAATAGGAAAAATTAGCCTTTACTATTTAATATCAAAAATAATATAGGCCTAATATAATACTACTACATTTCAAAAATTCAAATATCGGCTCATAACTAGTTTACTTTCTTCTAATTTCATTTTGTATGTTTTTACCCCTGTAGAGCCTGAGCTTGACTGGAGAGAAAGTAAGTTGTATTTAATATGGAAACATTCCCCTTATTTTCTGGGAGAATCCTGAATTGTGTTGCATTGTTTTATACCAGTTTGTGTCTAATGAAAATGTTAAACCATTCTGTTTGATGTATTCGGATAAAGACAGTATTCTCAAACTGAATAAACGTGTGAAACATCTATAAGCTCTCATTGATATCCATTTTTTTAATGCCTGCAGGGAAGCTGTCATCATCATCGCCTCCCCCAGATTCTGCCCAGCGGGACGGGCACTCAGACCCCTTCACTCTCACCCCTCACGGAGCCCTGCCTGACTGGTGAGGGAGAGAGAGAGAGAGAGAGAGTTACAGAGACACTGGGCAGGTTAGAATCTGTTGCTGCAAGAACCAACAATGATTGTGTGCGTGCATGGTGTTTTGTTACAGGGCTGATCTGGGCGATACAGGGAAGCACCCAGAACCAAAGAGTATTTTTGACTTTGAGCCTGGAAAGGGAGAAGCGGTAGAAGATCGGAATAAGGTAAGAAACAGCAGTCATCCACCATAACCTGAGCATTAATACAGTTTAACAAGAAATATTGTCATTTAAACATGCAAAAAACATGTATAAATGACAATAAAGGGGGTTGTCTGTGTATTATAATGATTTGTAGGAAAAAGCATCCTGATTTTTTTAGTTTGCCAGTTCATCCAAAGCATTATTGTGTCTGTTGAATGCCTTTTTGTTACTGTCCGTTGGCATTTGTGAGTGGGTTTGACTGAACGCTGGAAAGGGTGAGAAGGTGCTGGGGAAAGTACAGTAGTTGTGACTGTCTTGCTGCGCAGAATCCGGGTGAGGAGATGATGACAGCCTTCCCAAAGGCATTCAAAACAGACAAACTGTATCAATTGGCCCTTTCGAGAAGCAATCCTGGTATATTACCGTAAAAATGACCAGAATTACTTTCCCGGTAAATACATGCGCTGTTCACACAAGCCTTGTCTTGTTACAGGTACGACACATTAAAGTAACACAGAAGCAGCGTTAGAGTTAATTAGGTACTTAAGTGATTCATTGAGTGATGATTGTTTGATTATTGAAGACACGTGATGTATGAGCAGAATCACACAATTAAAGTTGCATATTTATTGGGCTTACAGTATGCATAAAGCACTGGATCTCTATAACAGTGCTATCCATGTGTTCCTCCTGCACAAAAATATATCGATTTTTTGTTTATTCCTCAAAATGGATAATCACAATAAATCAAGTCTTTATACTGTACAATACATATTGTTTCAAAGCAAACAGTGACAATGATTCAATGACGCAAACAGAGTTCATTTCGGTCTAAAAGAAAATAGTGTCATTAAATGATTCATTTCTGTTGTAAATATCATCAATTATTAAATTAGTTAATTTAATATATAAAGCAGTTCTGCATAAAAACAGTGATGTCTTCCAGCTTACCGTTATAAATGTACAATATATAACTCCTTTTTTAATGTCAGGATAATATAACACTATATCCAGTTATAGTAATTTGTTACTGTAAACTAATGATCTTTTTAGTTTTAGTGTAGTGATGTACATTTGAAATATCTCGACTTCAGTCTTGATTACATTCACTCTCAAAACTTCTCACGGAGGCCTAAAAAGACGTGTCATTCGGGGGCCAGGAGAGAATTGGGATTATTAAATTCTCAGATTAAGATGTTTGTCAGGAATCCTGATTGTTTATGACTGACTTTATGTCTGGCTTTGTGTGAATAAGAGAATAAAAGAATCTATTGTTTCATCTCCAGTTGTGGCGCTGTGTGAAGGAGGACTGTCTTGTGATTCGTATTAAACCTGTTAACCGCTTGTGTGATTTAAAAGCTCCAAGTGCTGTTTTCCCACATTTGCCTTAATGTGACAGCTATCATCTCTTCCACTAAAGACAGCTTTGCTTTGTTAAAGTGCCCCTGTGCTGAAAATCCAACAATTTTTACATGTATATGTGGTGTTTTTTATATGCTTTAAGACAAACCATGTGCAAATTCACAATTCAGCACCATTGCCAAGGATTTTCTCCTTATAGGAGTAGTTCACTTAAAAAAAAAAAAAAAAACTTTTGCTGATAATTTACTCACCCCATGTCATCCAAGATGTCCATGTCTTTCTTTCTTCAGTCGAAAAGAAATTAAGGTTTTTGATGAAAACATTCCAGGATTTTTCTCTATATAATGGACTTCATTGGGAACCAAACGGTTCAAGGTCCAAAAGACACTTTCAGTACAAACTGCAAACTGTTCAAAGGGCTTTAAACGATTCCAGACGATGAATAAGGGTCTTATCAAGCGAAACGTTCGCTCATTAAAAAAATCGCCCTTGCTCTGTACTGTGATGAGCGTTCGGTACTCTCCTGTTCAAACTCGTTCATCAAAATGAACAAATCTTTTTTCGAGTCATTTGGTTCATGAACAAAATGACTCGAAAAAAGATTAGTTCATTTTGATGAACGAGTTCAAACAGGGGAAATGACCGATCTTAATTTTTTAAATGACAGATCGTTTTGCTAGTTAAGACTCTTATTCAACACATTCTCATCCCAAGTCGTCATCTAACTGACAACTGTCAACATCCGACCGATCCTAGGGCGTCATCTAACTGACTCTTTACCTTTAGCTGGGGTTGGGTTAGGATTAGATAGCGTCATCTAACTGACGTTAAAGGGTACCCTAAAACATCGGATATTGACGTATGGTCAAAAGCGTCAGTCAGATGACGTCTTAGGATGAGAACGGGCTGCCTTATTCATCGTCTGGTGTCTAGTAAAGCCCTTTGAAGCTGCACTGAAACAGTCATTTGGACTTTAAACCATTTGGCACCCAATGAAGTCCATTATATGGAGAAAATCCTGGAATGTTTTCATCAAAACCCTTAATTTCTTTTCGACTGAAGAAAGAAAGACATGGACATCTTTGATGACAAGGGGGTGAGTAAATTATCAGGAAAAGTTTTTTTTTAAAAGTGAACTACTCTTTTAAGACCAAAAACCAAAAACAGTCTCAAAAACGCATTTAAAATCGAAAACTACCATGTAACCAATCATGTCAAGGTGTTATGGTAAATGGATCACTGAGCTGGTGTGAGTGAGTGAAGGCGGGGCTAATTTACATATTCATTGAACTGCATATTCTAAATGAGGCAAGGTTTTTTTTTTTATATGTCACTTTGATGATCAAATATTCGTTTTGAAGGATACTATTGACTACAGGGGGACTTTAAAATATTTGAAAGATGCATTGCTTATCATGTCTTACGGTGTTCTGGATGGCTTTTGTAAGGTTGTTAGCTGCCATTCAATTCTGCTCTCCTGGGAACAATTAAATTAGTCTAAATGTGGCTTAATTACATTGTATGATGTTGTAGTCTCAGTTGGTATTTGATTTGTTTTTAGTCTCTGAGGTCTGCGTCACAGCTGCCTTTATATTACACCCCGGGTAAACCTCAACCCAGATCTCCATCTATAGAGGTGAGTGTCTGCACTTCTACATCAGACATCAATCTGAATGCATCTCGCCTTTTTATTATTATATTAATTACAAAGCTATTACAAATAAATGTAATATTGTTAATATGGTCATTTTTAGAAGGTACATTTGTTATAATATACATAAATGCCCATCATTTTCTGATTTATTTTAAAGAGAATATATTGATGCTATTGGACTATTCCTGTGTACTCAGCATAATCTGAATAAACGAAGGCTATTCCTTTTCCATTCTCTTCTGCAAGTACTGGAGACGTTCTTTATCGCCAAATACCTTGTGATTTTTATACTATCAAAGTTCAACTACCATGAAATCGCATGCACTCCCAGATTACATTTAGATTTGTGGGTTACACCAATAGTTTTACATAAAATATAAATACCACACCAATAGTTTTACATAAAAATGCATATGCCGTGTGTGAGCTGGTTGTCATGCTGTTGTCCAGGCGACACTGGTGTCGGAGCTGAACCGCTTTGAGGCAGAGCTGGACTCAGACATTCGTGGTCTGGAGAGGAAACTGTCACAGAAGCAGCAGCGGCGAGGCAGGGGTGAGGTACTGACTCTCTTTTCTACACATTTATAATTCTAAAAAGTACAGCCAAACAATTTTCCAATTGATTCCAATTGAAATTTCAGTTCAACTTCTTGTGGTTTGTGGCCTGTTCAATTCAATACAAAACAAACACCCTTTCTCAAAGGTTTAGAGAGAGAGCATCAAAGACAAACAGACACTGCAGTTAGATAAAACATGGAGATCATTTGAGATGTTGTATTTGGCGTGCTGTATCAATCTCTCGAAATGGTTATTAAGTCTTTTGGACTTCCAGTCAGACTTTAGTCATCCATTATGACCTCACCGATTTCTTAAAAATTCCTGTACCCTTCAGACAAGGTATTAGTCTTAATCTCGTACTTGTTGTGCCAAAAAAAGAAAAAAAAGAAAGTCAAAGGCTTTTTCTCTGTTTCTGGCCACTGCTGTTACCTTCCTGCCAGCGTGCTTCAGGTCGCTGGATGTGGGCCCTACTTTGACAGCTGTGCATGCTGATCCTCTCTATCACTTCCTGTCATGCTGAACAGACAAAGTCTGCAGCCGCCCACCGCTGATCTTGCCTTTGAATCACGCCAGCCTGCACAATGTCTGCTCTTTAAATCCCAGGCGTGTTTATTTGATCCTTTTCTTGCCGTGACTCTCTTTCTGTGATTCTTAAAGGGACCGTTCACCCTAAAAGGAAAATTCTGCCATCAACTTTCCTTCATTTCTTTCCACACACACAAAAATAGTGCTGGGCAACGATTAATCACATCCAAAATAAAAGTTTGTGTTACATAATATAAGTCTGTACTGTGTACTTTGTATATATAAATGAAGAGTTCAGATGCAAAAGCCTCTAAGTGCATTTGAAATTTTGTTCTAGAATGACCATTTTTATCAAGCTTGTGTATTTAATTTCAGTAATTTCACTTAAATGACAATTAATAGGTAATCTTCATTGCCATTTAAGTGAAATTACTGAACTTAAATATACAAGCTTGATAAAAATGGTCATTTTAGAAGAAAATTTCAAATGGCACTTAGAGGCTTTTGCATCTGAACTCTTCAAATATACAAACGAACATGTTCATGTCTATATTTTAAAAAAAAAATTGTTATTTGTATATAAAATATTTATAATTGGGCTGGGCAACGATTAATTGAGATTGATCACATCCAAAATAAAAGTTTGTTTTTACATAATATATGTAACTGTGTGTGTACTGTCTATAATTATTTTGTATATAAAAATTCACACACGTGCATGTATATATTTAAGAAAAATGGGTTATTAATATATAAAAAATTAATATTTCTATTTCTATGTATTAAATATTTCTTAAATCCTAAAAAATTTAAGAATTTAAAGTATTTTACACAAAATTTGTGTGTATAATTATTTTGCACATATAAATACACATACATGCATGTACAGTATATATTTAAGAAAAATGGGTTATTAATATATAAAATATATTTCTATTTCTATATATTAAATATTTCTTAAATATATACATGCATGTATGTGTATTTATATATGCAAAATAATTATACACAGACTATACACACATATTATGTAAACAAAAAACTTTTATTTTGGATGCGATTAATCGCGATTAATCATTGCTCAGCCCTAATTTATATATAATATACATTATGTATGAAAATAAACATACAGTATATGTTTCTTAAATATATACATGCATGTGTGTGTATTTATATATGCAAAACAATTATACACAGTACACACACATACATTATGCAAAGACAAACTTTAAAAATAAAGCACTAATAAAAATACATAAAAAAATAACAAAGACATATATTAGACAATATTAATAGACTTCTCTATATCATACAATACACATTAAAAATACAAAAATAACAAAATAATAAATCCATAGATTTTATGTGAAAAAAAAAACAGATTGATATTTAAATAAAATTTAAACAATTTAATCTAAAATGAGCTTTTGGCTCAACGAATTCTGCACCTTTAATTGTTGAAGGCTTTATGACTCCCCATGTGCTTGTGAATTACAAACTGTGGAAATCTTAGCTGATGACCTCACATCACCAGTTCCATCTGATTTAGATTTACAATAGAGGTCTGCACAGGCTTTAAACTGAAACTCTGAGCTTTTATCCCCACCCCACCTGACCTGTACGGTTACATTTTAAGCTGGAACCCGAAGTCCTTTGCTCACAGCAAATACCTTTTTATAATACCGCTGTATTTTAGGATTGCATGCAACGATCAGTAAACAAATACATGTAAACAAACACAGTTTCATCAAGACACAGTGGCCCCCTCAGCAGTCAAATAAATACAGTATATCTATCTATTTACACACACACACACACACACACAAATATATATATACAGTGTATATATATATATATATATATATATATATATATATATTATAATTATATATAATATTTATATATATATATTGATAGATAGACAGATAGATAGAGTTTTTCTTTTGTCACAAACCCGAAGCTATTTATGAAACTTTAACCCGAACCCAGACGTCTAATTTACAATTGCAACCTAAATGTATGGAGTGTAGGACCCAGGGGAGAAGTGTAGCTCTCTGTTCAGGAATGGTCACCGCCTCTTGAGATTGCTTTCGAGCTGCTCCCAAATACTCCTGTTGAACTGTGTCTTTAGGAGAGTTCATGTGTCTTAGAGGTGAATGAAATAGTGATTTCTATTTTCAGGGAGCTAAAACCAACACAGCCGCCACAAAAACAGAAGAGAACAGACAAGAAAACAGGTAAGTGTCTGGGTTTACTTATACTTTGGGGAAAATCTGATCTGAAAAGTCAGGAAAATATAACAAAACCTCATACATAAACTTTTTTAATAAAAAAAAAAAAACTCTTAGGATAGATTCAGTCTTAGTGTATAGTAATAGTGCAGTTTCATATATGCTATATAGCCATAAATGGATTTGAAGTCATGTAAATATTAGTAATGTTTGAAGTAATATAATATAATATAATATAATATAATATAATATAATATAATATAATATAATATAATATAATATAATATAATATAATTATCCTGCATCATAATTTCTCTGTATATGTCTTATATGTACCATTATATCACAATATTATGTGAACAGGTGGGATGAAGTTGTTCAATCTTTTTAAGCCCAGAATTACAAGTTTCGTGTTTGGAATGTTTTGTAGAAATACTATCTGATAATGGGGTCGGTCTGTCTAATTAATTCTAATACAGTGTGACAAATGCAGCAGATTTCCCCGTTGTTTCCCTGTTTCACTCTCTTATTAAGGTCATATGACATGCCCGGCCTGTCTCCTCGTCTGATTGGTTAATTGTTGACTCTTTGGCCGTCGGCCCACATACCCGACCCCATGCTGAGTTCTTTGTGTGCCTGTACATGTGTTTGTGTATTTGCAAGAGTGTGTGGCATTAAAATTGAGGATGTCTCAGTCTTTAATCACATGCTTGACCTTGTTCGTCCTGTTAATAAAGTGGTACAGTATTAGTGCTTAAACTGTATTAGACACAGTTTTTCTGCCCGCATCGCTGCTCCACATTCAGTTACCCCCCTCTTTATGTGCATTGACACAGCAGAGCTATAAAAGGCAAAGTTAGGTCCCTCCAGGCCTATACTTCAGATGTTCATGCCCATTCTGACACCTTAAGGTTCAGTATTTGCTCGCCAGGGGCCCATATCTCACTGGATCTGACACATTCTTGAGTTCTCCCTCTGTTTTTCTGTGGCATGTTGATGTTTTCTGCCCCCTTCAGCCCCCTGCTGACTACCTCCCCACCCTCAAAATGCCATAAATGCTACAAAAAGGATACAGAATGAGGACAGTTTTACAGCTTCCCTCTTTCTGGAATGATTATCAACCCTGGGGCTGAAAACCTGTTAACTGGTTGTTGTGTTCAAGAATTGTTATGCTGCCATTTCAACAACATATTTTTTTGATATAACGCATTATACAGTTCATTCTCAAACATTCATCGCCACTAGAGAAATAAAATCAGTAGAAATATGGTTAAAAGGGCACATTTATTTGAGCAAACATGTTGTTTATGTTTAAAATGAGTCAAACTATTTGGGATACGTGGGATAAAAAGACATAATTCAAGAGATATTTTATATACAAAGTGTTTTTTTTTCTTGCACCATGTCCGTATTATATTTTAAAGATGTTCAGAGCAGCATAAACCTCTATCATTAGTTACATCTCTCAGGTCTGTCACATATTCATAAATATTCCCATAATTCAAACTGGATCCTCATAGCTGAGACAGACCATCTGTTGTGTTTTATGGAATTCTTCCTGTCTTCCTTGAGTCTCCTATGTAACTAAGAGGAAGGATTTTTCAAAGCTCATGAGACTGAGATCAGTTGTTCATTTGTGTATCAGTGTTGTCTCCATTATTCATTTAAAATAGCTTAAATTGTTTGGTCTTGAGAGTTTTTGATGACAAATGTTGGAGTTCATCTTCATGTTCATCTCGATTGCAGATTTTGGTGTCTTGCATGGCAAATTTGAGCACATTCCTGAGATTTTTTGATTTCTTTCCTTGGGTAAAACCTGAGGAAACTCTAGAAAAGTCTCTAAGTGATCCCCATTTAATCTCTACTGTTGAGGCAAAACCCCTGAGACATGGAAGAGGTCTTAATATTGTTCTTACTAATAACCAATAATTGTTTTTAAAGGGATAGTTCACTTTGAAATTAATTTTTGATATGTTTTAGCTTACCTCAAGGCCATCCAAGATGTAGGTGTCTTTGTTTCCACAGTATTTTCACTTTTGATATTTTTAGGTCAAACCGTTCTTGTCTGTCAGTCATATAATGGAGATGTATTGGGTCCACCTCAAAGAGCATGCACACAGAAGTCCAACAAACCGCTCGTTTCGTGTCTTAGGCCATCAATGTGTTCTTGCATTTACGAGTCATTAAATCATGTTTAATTTGGACTTCTCTGTGCATGCTCTTTGAGGTGGACCCCATATACCTCCATTATATGACTGACAGACAAGAACGGTTTGACCTAAAAAAATATCAAAATTGAAAATTCTGTGGAAACAAAGACACCTACATCTTGGATGCCCTTGAGGTAAGCTAAAACAAACCAAAAAATATTTTCAAAGTGAACTATCACCTTTAAGGAATGATGCCAGTGTATTAGATGTGAACTTTCACCTCACTGTTTTTGACTTCAGTGTTCTTCATTTATATGGTATAGATGTGTCACATGATAATATTGTTTTTCTTTTCCAGCTATCCCATAATCCCCTGCTCAGCTGCAAAGCAGGGCACAACAGCAAGCTTCATGCATGCTGATGGTAAGATACAGTCATCTTCCTATCCCCTCCTGTCCTCTATTTCCTATTTCCTTCAACGTCTTACCAATCTTCTCCTCTCCTCTCATTCCCCAAGGCACAATTTGCACAATTAATACAAAGTAAACACGTTTCTGTGAAATGAGGAAAACAAATGAAGTCAATCACTATTCATCAGGACAGGAAATGTGTAACAAGGAGCAGGATGGAGGTCTTGATCGCAGATTAGATTTTTTTCCAGTTGTTTTTCTTGGAGATTAATGCAGAAAGAGTTGGCCACTCTAAACACATTAAAGGCCCATGAAATGGTCTTTAGCAAAAGCTAATTTTGATTAAAAAAGAAGTCCCTCATGATCTTCCTCTGAGTCCGCACTTTCGGGATGTAATGGCGCTTTGACTGTTGTGGAGCCCAAAAGTGATCATCCAGGACTTGTATCAGCCGCACATACTTCATATGATCATTAGATTCTTCACCCTGCGGGACATATAAGTGCTTAAAGTTGAAAAAGCAACCAATAATTGCAAACAAACATGGATAATAGACACAATTCTGCTGTTGATTTTGGTATATTATGGGCTGATATCTGTTGTTCTCTACTCTCTACAGGTCGCACATCCTCAGACATGGATTTCCCACCTAAGAAAGAAGAGAGAAAGGTACAGCATTTGATCTTTTTCCTTGAAGTTTGGATGGAAAGTACATATTTGACACATACTTTGAGAAAGAACGGCTGTTTTTTTTTTTCTACACAGATGAAAGCAGCCCGAGCCAAATTTAGTTTCCAAGCACAGTCACCAAAGTAAGTAGAAACAAAAGACACAACACAGATTCCATTATTCATTATTAGTTTCAGAAGTGAAGGTTACGGGGAAGTTGGAAATGCTACTAAAAATAAAATTAAATAAAGTTCTCTGATTTGTTATTCTGTATTATTAATTTGATACGTTTTTACCACATTTCTAATCACACACCCTATCTTCCCCCATCCATAGGGAGCTGACCATACAAAAAGGTGATATCGTGTACATACACCGACAGGTGGATGCCAACTGGTATGATGGAGAGCATCATGGGAGAGTGGGAATCTTTCCCACCAGCTATGTGGAGGTTTGTCAAGTCACCTTTATTTATATAGTGCTTTATACAGTACAGACTATTTCAAACCAGCTTTACATGGGATAAACAGGAAAACAATGATCAATGATGTAAAGCAGCTCGAAAAAGGCAATAGCATACCTGTCAACACTCTCGTTTTTTAGCCCTATTGCCTGGACCCCTCCCGGTTTGTTATTTTTACTCGTGTTTGTTAGTGTACTCGTTACTCAAAGCTACATTGTGTGATTTTTACCCCCATCTAGTGGTGAAAAGGTATATGACCATTAGGGTTGGGTATCGTTTGAATTTGAACGATTCTGATTCCGATTCCTTGTTTCGATTCCGGTTCCTAACGATTCTCAATTCCGATTCTTTTAAGAGGCAGGGTCAAAAAAGTTTAGCTAACCTTGCTAACCAACGGTCTTTCGGAAGGAAATAATCCTTTCTGAAGGAAATACTCCTTCTGTCACAAATACTCCTTTTGTCACAAATTTTGCATTTTGCCGAGATTTCGTTATTTTTAGAAAAGTGAAGCCACACTTTGGACCGCCGACGTAAGCTACTCATGTTCGACTCGCGCGGTTATGCCAACACTTCCGGTAGACGCTTCTTCGTTGGTGTTGTTCAGCGGTTTCTTCTTCCACTCGGCGGACTGTGAATATCGAAACTAGGAATCGAAATTTTAACTTTTGAACGATTCCGGGAAAAACGAAAAGTTAGTCCCGGTTCGAAACGATTCTCGATACCCAACCCTAATGACCATCCAGTGAATATTAGTTTCTGTTCCTCTCAATTCCGATTTCGTTTTAGCTCATACGGTGGCCAATGTAGTCCAAGATTAACATGGCCTCCAGTTCGACCTCATCCATGAGTGTTAACTGAAACGTAAACGCGAAAGGCGAAGCTTGAATTAACGGGTATGTCTCTCTTTGGCTAATGTACTTTCAAGATGGAGGGGCAACATGGCGACCGACATTAGAACCCCTTACCCGTATGTATTTTCAATGGCATATTATACACTCACGAGAATACTTTATTACTTGAACAAAGTAAATATACATTAATGAGCACATATATTTTTTGAAATAACTAAGTGTTTTTAGTAGGGCTGTGCAAAAGTTAATTGCGATTAATCGCATCCAAAATAAAAGTCTGTGCTTACATAATATATTTGTATGTGCTGTATATAATTATTTTGTATATATAAATACCAATGCATGCATGTATATACTGTATTTAAGAATTATTTGCGCTTAAATTCTGAAAATCTTAAAATCTATATTATATAAATATATAATTTATATATGAATTTTCACACATTTTCTTAAATATATACATGCATGTGTGTGTATTTATATATATATATATATACAAAATAATTATATACAGCACAAACAAATATATTATGTAAACACAGACTTTTATTTTGGATGCGATTAATCGCAATTAATTTTTGCACAGCCCTAGTTTTTAGCTAAGAATAAACTAAAAGAGTTACACAGTGTAGCTTTATTAAACAAAATAAGATAAAAATTAGCATCAAACAGGAATTACCCACACACATGGGCTGTTCGCATAGACCGTAAAAGGGGTGTTCTAGGCACAAGGCACTTACAATACAATACTGTCGACAGTTCAAAAAGGGGCCACACCTTTTTTGCACACCCCCCTCCCCCCGAATCGACAAATCTCCCGGATTTTGAAAACCAAATGTTGACGGGTATGCAATAGTGTCATTTTTCAGATGAAGTCAGAATTGATTCAGTTCAGTTTAATCACTGTGTAAAGTTCACACATTCATCATCCAGTTCAAGTTTACTTCACTTTCGACAGTGTCAGTGCAGTCAAATCAGTGTCCATGAGTATGCAAATGCAACTCTGCATCTCGTCGTCTTTCGTCTTAACATCCCTTCCTATCTTTTCTTTCCAGATTATTCCTCCAACGGAGAAGCCAACTCCAATAAAGTCCCCTACCATCCAGGTGTTGGAGTATGGAGAGGCTGTTGCCCTGTTCAACTTCAATGCCGACCTGCCTGTGGAACTGTCCTTCAGAAAGGTGCCATAAATATCACAGACTCTACCACACACTACAACTAATTTATTATGCACAGTTCATTATCATGAAATATTTTACTGCAGACTAATTTTCTGGGTTCTTAAGTGAGCCGTGGAAACCTTATTAAAGGATTAGTTCACTTTTGAAAAAACTTTTGCTGATAATTTACTCACCCCCATGTCATCCAAGATGTCCATGTCTTTCTTTCTTCAGTTGAAAAGAAATAAAGGTTTTTGATGAAAAAATTCCAGGATTTTTCTCCATATAATGGACTTGCATGGGAACCAGACGGTACAAGGTCCAAACGACAGTTAATAACAGTTTCAGATGCAGCTTCAAATGTCTTTAAACGACACCAGACGATGAATATGGGTCTTATCATGCGAAACGATCGGTTATTTCAAAGCTTATTCCAAAAATGTAACTTTTCTAAGGACAAATGCTAGCCTTGCTCTATTCTGTGAGGCGCGTTTGTAACGTCACGTAATACGTAATTACGTTCAAAAGGTCACGGGCGACGTAGCCAGAAGTACAGAGTCAGAGTGTTTACAAGTTGAACGCATAGGTTGAACGTGAAAACTAACTCAAACGCCGTTTACAAAAAAGGAATTAAAAGGTAAAACAACGATGTCGGACGATTTTGATTCTGTACTTCCGGCTACGTCGCCCGTGACCTTTTGAACGTAATTACGTATTACGTGACGTTACAAACGCGCCTCAGAGAATATAGCAAGGCTAGCATTTGTCCTTAGAAAAGTTACATTTTTGGAATAAGTTTTGAAATAACCGATCGTTTCGCATGATAAGACCCTTATTCATCATCTGGTGTCGTTTAAAGACATTTGAAGCTGCATCTGAAACTGTTATTAACAGTTAATTAATTACAGTAAAATACTGTGTTCTCTGTATAATTACAGAGAAAAATCCTGGAATGTTTTCATCAAAAACCTTAATTTCTTTAAGACATGGACATCTTGGATGACATGGGGGTGAGTAAATTATCAGCAAAAGTTTTTTCAAAAGTGAACCAATCCTTTAATAGCATTTGCAGCTGGTTTGAAATGCATAAACATTTTGTGACCTGTCATTGCCTTTACTCATACTCTTGTGTTCACTTATCTCTTATCATCTCTTATCTTATCATGAACAAATCTGTATTTGAATCAACTGTAATTAACTTGAATTACTGCAATGAATCAAAATTCCCATTGCTAGATGTTAAAGGGATAGTTTGCCCTGTCCGTGCAGGTTTGGAGACATGAGGGTGAGTAAATGGTGACAATTTTCATTACAGTGAATATCCCTTTTAGGCAGTGGTTCTTAACCCTCTGGTGCTCTTCACGTGTCGGACAAAAATGGCAGAATTTTTTTTCCCAATGAAATGAATCTACTATATTTTAGTATATTTTAGTTCAATAATATATTTTAATTTAATATTTTGTATTTTTAGGGGATTTTGTGGTACTAAATTATATTTATGCTGTATTTATAATCCATTTATACACTTTTTTTTATCAACCTGAACTGTCGTAAATCTTGATCGCTTTAGAGCACAGACTTGAGTTTGATCTCTTTTTAAAAGACGACACTTGACAAATTATTGCTGGCGAAAAATAGTTTAATAATGTGAACTTTGATGTTTATTATAAAAATATAAATATACACAAAAATGCTATTTTCAATTTTTAAATGAAATATAATATATATATAAATTTTATATATATTTTCAAAAACACATTTTACTCTAAATCTGTAAAGAAAAAAAGAAAGCAATAAATCTAAACAAGTTTTTTTTTTTTTTTCCAAATTTGATCAAAATCAGTAAGATTTTGTTCGCGGCAGAACCAAAAGAACCTTCTCTAGATGAAATTCGTCTCCCATTCATTTTCAATGAAAACGTTTTTGACTGCAAGCAGTTCAGGTGTGACTATTTTTTTCAGGACGATTTACAATTTGAAATATGTCCATGATTTTTTTTTGTGTTCACATAGCAAAAAAAAAGCATAACATATGTCTTTCTTTTATTAACACCCTCAACCAGTGTTTTTTCTTTGAAGAACCAGGATTCCCAGTGTCTTGAAAACCTTAATGAAATAGCCTAATAATTAGCCTGATATATATATAACATCAATCAAATTTAAATATTAAAATCCCTTTCCAGTAAATCATGAACAGAATGGGGAGCCTTGGAGTCAAGAAGGCTGAGAACCACTGCTTTAAGGCTTAAGTTTGGGGTAATGAATCTTAATCATGTCGTGTTCATACATGTAAATCAAGTCTTTGTGATCGACTTCCAGCCCTAACTAGCACAGCTATGTACAGAAAATGGTTGCTTGGAACAATTATAGTCAATTATTGTGAATTATACAGTTTCACTATTGTACACAAATATCCAACCACAGAACGCTGCAAATGGCCAATCAGAGTCAAGTATTCCAAAGAACAGCTTTAACAGCTTTCTTTCTTCTCTCTTGTTCTGTTCGGTCTCTCAGGGCGAGATTATCTCAATCGTCAGGCGTGTTGATGATCACTGGCTGGAGGGTCGTATCTCTGGCACCACCCGAAGTGGAATCTTCCCCATCAGCTACGTCCAGGTCAACAAAATGCCTCGCACTAAAAGCAGTGATGACTTTCCATCTTCTCCCACTCCCACACCAGAGCCCCTGAGTCCCGGCCGGCCACAGCACTCCCCCCTGTCTCCCCTGTCACGCTCCCCCGAACCCCAGCTTTCACCTCACAAACACTCCAGCCAATCACGCTCCCCTCTGTCACACGCACAGCCCATCTCCCCAAAACCATCAAACCACTTTTTGTTCTCGCCTGGCCCCACTTCACCCAGCAACAACTGGACGGGATTGCAGCACTCTCACAACCCACTGGAAAAGGACAGCAGATCACCTGTGTCACCCTCCAATCATGTGCTGACACCTCCGCAGGGCCCGGGACTGCCAGCGAACGCCGGCACAATGCCAGCGCACCCTCCGTACATCACACAGGTTTGTGCAGAGAAACAATACTATAGTATTTATATGTATGGACTTCAGTGTCAGCCAGGCTGATGTTTTGGTAACACTTTACAATAAGGTTCATTAGTTAACAGTAGTACTGTAGTATTAATTTCAACATACTTATACATTATTAAAATCAAAGGTTGTATTTGTTAACATTAGTAAACGAACAATGAACAGCTGTATTTTAACATTAACAAAGATTAACTAATAAAGTAACACATGTATTGCTCATTGTTAGTTCATGTTAGTTAATACATTAACTAATGCTAACTAATTAACCGTATTGTGAAGTGTTACCAATGTTTTTTTTTGTTTTTTTTTGGGGGGGGGGGGGGGGGATATTTTGTATTGTGGTAAATAATGTGGCCAATGTACAATACATTAAGTATGCATGAAATTGATCAAAAGTGTCAGTAAAGACACTTAGACCCCGTTTACACCTGGTATTAAAATGCGATCTGTATCCAGATAAGTTATCCGGATAATAAAAAACGCATGTTAATGCAAGGTGTAAACGCGTTGTGATCGGATCGTGATCGGATCTGCCTGACCACATCTGGAGGTAGTCTGGCTCGCATTGTGTCCGGATCTTTACTAGGTGTAAACGCAATCTGGTTGTTGAAACCACATATGTACACTCTAAAAAATGCTGGGTTGTTTTAACCCAACTTTGGGTCAAATATGGACTAACCCAGCCGTTGGGTTAAATTTTTACATTACATTTTTAACCCAACATTTCGGGTTTGTCCATATTTGACCCAAAATTGGGTTAAAACAACCCAGCATTTTTTAGAGTGTATATTTTACTCCTCCCAAAAATGCTAAAAAAATAAACGAGTGAGAGCGTGTTATATAGGCTATCCAATAAATCTGCATATAACGCAGGAGGTGAAGATCGGATTTATATCCGTTTTGCAAAAACACATTTATGTGGCCAGGTGTAAATGGAATCAGTACTTATTATCCGGATAACTTATCTGGATACAGATCGCATTTTAATACCAGGTGTAAACGGGGTCTAAGTTACATCAAAAAGTCCTAAAAAGTTATTAATCTAATAAAAAATATTAAAGGTGCTGTAAGCATTTTCTGAGAAACACTGTTGAGACATGAAATTGACACCCAAACAAACCCCTCCCTTCATTTCTCCGCTCACAAAATAACAAACACAACACACGCAACGACTAACATCAGACATCTCACGCGAATACGCTGTGATTCAACAACAACTAAAGCATATCTCGCTTCTGTGAAACAGCAAATTAACCAATAGCTGTTTCTCAAGTCTAAGAAAGCAAAGACCAGACTTGTGTTCTCTTGGATACGTCTTGCTAGGCAACCTTGAAAGAACGAACTTGGAAGGACGCGTGGACACAGAACGCATCTTTGTGAGAATTGAGATGCGATCTTGCTGCTCAAATTACCGTCCCAGCAGATTATAAGTAGCAGTTAATGCACAATACACATACTGTAACATCACAAACAAGTGTCATAACCTAATAAAACATTTATTTCATATTACTATAGTCAGGCATTGTTTGCATATAATTTGATATCTTTTTTTTTATTTTACCATGTGTGTTTATGAAAATAAGTAGTCTATATGTGTAATATATGTATTGTCAGATTCTTTTTTTATTATGCCAATAAAACTACTGCAGACTTTCTTCAGGTTATCACTTTATTAAAATTGAGCAAAACAAACAGACAAATTTACTTTCACGAGCCATCACGTGTTTGCGAGCTTGCAATGTCAATGGGGAATCACTTAAGTGAGAACAAGTTTAAAGCGTACAGGCTTCCGTACTTAGCCCGCCCGCTGCGTTCTTCTGGATTTCGAATGGTTCGATTAGTGTATTCGATGCATCCTCGATATCAAGAACACATCCGGGCACTTTCATGCGTCCTCTACTTGGGTTCTTGACGGATGATGAGGAGATAGTATGAGAACGCATAATTAGAAACAGCTATCGAGCAGAAACAAAGCAACCTTTCTGCTCTCTAATGTCACTCCAGCGCTGGAAAGCTTTTCCAATATTAAAGGAGTAGTTCACTTTTGCAAAAACTTTTCCTGATAATTTACTCAGCCCCATGTCATCCAAAATATCCATGTCTTTCTTTCTTCAGTCGAAAAGAAATTACGGTTTTTGATGAAAACATTCCAGCATTTTTCTCTATATAATGCACATATAAAAGACAGTTTCAGTGCAAACTGCAAACTGTTCAAAGGGCTTTAAAGGACACCAGACGATGAATAAGGGTCTTATCAGGCAAAACAATCGCTCATTTAAAAAATAAATAACAAAGTTTAAGTTTTATAAGCTCAAATGGTCGCCTTGCTTTGTTCTGTGATGCGCGTTCATTGACTCTCCTGTTCGAACTCGTCCATCAAAATGAACAAATCTTTTTCCTAATCAATTCATTTGTTTCGTTCGATGAATGAACCAAATGACTCCGAAAAAGATTCACAGAGCAAGGCGACCATTTGAGCTTATAAAACTTGTTATTTATTTATTAAATGAGCGATTGTTTCGCTTGATAAGACCCTTATTCATTGTCTGGAATCGTTTAAAGCCCATTGAACAGTTTGCAGTTTGTACTGAAACTGTCTTTTTGACCTTGAACCGTTTGGTTCCCATTGAAGTGCATTATATGGAGAAAAATGCTGGAATGTTTTCATCAAAAACCTTAATTTCTTTTTGACTGAAGAAAGAAAGACATGGACATGCATTACATGGGGGTGAGTAAATTATCAGCAAAAGTTTTTTTCAAAAGTGAACTACTCCTTTAACACTTGTCCTAGCTCTTTCCCAATTATATTCCTCTGACATTGTCTTCTTAGGTAATATCTGAGCCATCTCTCTTTCCACAAATATCCCGCTCTCTCCCTTTCTCTTCATCATCAGCAGATTTTTTTTTTTTTGCAGCACACACAAAACAAATACTTAGCAAATACGTAGTCACAAAATGGTTTGTTTGGGTGTTGATTTACAGTGTTTCTCTGCAATCACTCACTGCACCTTTAAGCAGCACAATTTGCTAGATTTTCACACTTTCTCGCAAAATATAATGTGGATTTCATAGCATTTTTGCTTTCCACAACAATTTGTAAGGTGAAGGACTCTTGTAGTATCCCTTAATTACAAAAACATGATTCCTGTCTTCCACTGAGACTGGTCACATCTGTTTGTTCAATTCTCAGCCGATGTTCACATTATTTTATGCCTAATCCTGATCTCAAGGTTTAGAATTACGGCGAGTGACACAATAAAATGCAATCATGTCCCAGAAATTTTACTACATCCAAACAGTTAACAGGAAATTAGAGTTTGTAAGAAAAAAAAATAAGAAACTTGTGTTGTTTATGTAAAGTTCTTTGACATTAATTGGGTATTTGGGCTTATTTTTCCATTGCAGATTGTAAAAAGATAAAGTCCCCTGTAGTCAATAATTGTCTTAAAACTCATTTTGATCACCAAAATGACACGTTTTATTTGAAAAAAAAAAAAAAATCTTCATGCCTTAAAATAGCTTGAATGTAACTCTACACCCTTGCCTCATTTAGTATACGCAGGTCTATGAATTAGTAAATTAGCTCCGCCTCCACTCACTCACATCAGCTCAGAGATCCACTCCCTGACGATCACATGTTGTCGTGATTGATTACATGGTAGTTTGTGAAGTCAGAACACCAGCGATTTCAAACCCTGTCTTTGGTTCACTGCAGTTTTAAGGACGAAATCAGTAATGGTGTTGACTTATGAAGTTGTATATAGTCTGTCTTAAAGCATATTAAAAAACATCAAGTAGACATATAAACTATATTAAAAGCTTGATTTTCACCACAGGGGCACTTTTTGGATAGCCTACTTCTTTTTTTGCCATTAAACTTTTGACATTTGACTGCTTTTCATATATTGATAGGTGCATTAAAGCTGACACATACTGAATGATTTGAAAAGTTTTGTGATGGAAAGTTTTATTGATATTTTTGTACTCATTAAATGATGTACTATTAGGCTATATAACCTTATTTGTAATATTATGGAAATCAGGGCTATATTGGAATATTTTATTCTGTTTTTAGTTTCTGTTTCTCTGCTCCAGTCAGCTTATTGATTATCTCCTCGTTTTTTCTATGATTACGTATAATTATCACCTGTCAGTTATTGTTCGTCCTGTGGTTTCCCTGGATATCGCCTGTATTTATTACTTTTGTAATAAATACTTTGTTTGTTAGCTCTGTGTCATCGCCGCACGTGCTGCATGACATTATCAATTACAGGCTGTATAATAATACAATAATAAAGAAATGTTTCTTAACCATCTAATCAGCATATTAGATGGAAAGATCCATCTAATCCATCTTTCCCATCACAGGAATACATTTTTTTTTTTTTTTTTTTTAGAATATATTAAAATAGAAAACAGATATTTTATACTAAAACAAAACTAAATTTTAACAATGATTTTTAGGATGGGACCAGAACACAATCTCCACAGCCCAACGCACAGGTTAAGATTCCCTCCACGTCACGGTCTCCTGTGAACAAGGGTTATTCACGACAACTGTGAGTACATTATTCACTACTTCTGACCTAATTCGAGCAGACATAGATATATAATTTACATTTATTCGTTTTATAATTGATTAAAGAGAGAATTAAGTCAATTTCCTTGTTATTTACTCACCACCGTTGTGAAAGAAAGGGCAACACTTTACTTGAAGGGGGGTGAATAAGACTAACATGACACCTTCATAATGACATGACATATGTTATGAATATGAAAGAAGTTTTATGCATGTTTGTGACAGCTGTCATTAAGTGTCATTCGCTCAGTTATGACATTTGTAATGCAAATATGACATTGTTTGAGATGTCTTTGTTATGACACCTTGACATAAACCAATACATCATAACCTGTCAGTGTCTTTGTCATGACAACTTGACACTACTAAGACAACACAACCTGTCATAGCAGTTAAGACATCACATAGCTTTATTGGTTAACATTAGATTAAACTGTCAGGTAGTTGGTTTTGACATTGGCTGTCATGAAGCTATTATAACTTTTTAATGACAAATTCAAAACCACTGTAGTTGAGGTCATGAAAATATTTGACACAGTTATAATGGCCTCATGTCAAAACCAACAACATGACAGTTTAACTTAATTTTATGTCAAGTCATCATGACAAAGACACTGACAGGTTATGATGTATTGGTTTATGTCAAGGTGACATCTCAAACAATGTCATTTTTGCATTCAAAATGTCATTATTGAGTGAAAGACACTTAATGACAGTTGTCATAAACATGCATAAAGTCTCCTTCATACGTATGTCATGTTATGGTTATGAAGGTGTCATGTCAGTCTTCTGCACACCCCTTCAAGTAAAGTGCTACCAAAGAAAGTCATAAGGTTTGCTGAGTAAAACATGACAGGATGTTCATTTCTGGGCCAACCGTTCCTTCAAATATGTGCAAAAACTGTACACAAATCCAACTATCATTCTTTTTCATTCACTCTTTGCATTCAGGTATAAAGCGGTTTACAACTATAACCCCCAGAATAAAGACGAGCTGGAGTTGAGAGAAGGAGACCTGGTTCAGGTTATAGAGAAGTGCGATGACGGCTGGTTTGTAGGTAATCGCCCTTTAAGAAAACTCTACTTACACTGTTAGCATAAAGTCTCTCCACTTTACAGCTTATTGTGGACACTGTTGTACAGGTAAAGAGACTAATCATAGTTTCTAGGGATGCATGATACATTTGTATCATATCAACTATTGCTTAGTTATATATTGATAGTTATATATTGATTATAATTTTCCAATGCCTAAATTGACTTTTTGTGTTGTAGAAGAGAGTCGGTGCTTTTTAATCTGAGATTGACAATAATAGAATATTATACAGTACACTCTTAGAAGAAAAGGTTCTATATAGAACGCTACGTATTTGGAACCCCTAAAATGCAATGAGTGTGAATGATCCCAAAATTCAAGATATGGGGGTTAAAAAAAATTCATTAATCAATATCACACGAAGAGTGCCATTTCAGTTTTTATCCTCCAAAAATCAGCATGATTAAAATGTGATATTAAGTTACAACAGTTTAATAAACAATAATTTGATTACAACTCCAAAATGTTACAGAATAATGTAATATATGAATGAATAATAGCCCTTAAAGAACCTTTGTGCCAAAAGTGTTCTTTCTTGTCATTATTGAACCTTTTTTTTTTAGCATAAAATGTCCTTTGGAGTTGAGTAAAGAACCCTATGCTACTGTACATATATACGTAGAACCCTTTTTTCTAAGAGTGTACTGTATTATATGAAGAATATAAATTTATGTGTCAGATTTTACAGTCCAAAGTTATTACAAACACTACCAATCAAAAGTTTGGGGTCAGTAAGACTTTGTAATATTTTTGCTGACTCTCTTATATGCTCACTAAGGCTGCTTTATTTGATTAAAAGTCACATGATCTTAAAATCATTCTAATATGCTGATTTGGTGCATTTCTAATAATTATCAATGCTGAGCAGTTGTGCTGCTTAATATGCTCATGGAACCGTGATACAATATTCCATGACTCTTTGATGAATATAAAGTTCAAAAGAACAGCATTTATTTAAAATATATATATTTTTTTGTAACATTATGGGCTCTATCATACACCCAGTGCAGTGCAGCACCAAGAACGATGCAAGTGTTTTTTGCCAGTTTCAGCATGACGACGCTGCTATCATTTTCACATCCTGCGCAACGTTGTTTAAATAGCAAATGCATTTTCGCCCATTTATGCTCCCATGGGCGTGCTGGTCTGAAAACGAGGTGTGTTCAGGCTCATTGTTGGCACATTGCTAATTTGAGGAAACTGAAATAGACTGCATCACTGACAAACTGAAACCTGGTCTAAAGACATACATAAAGATATGGTGGAATCCGGCTTGTCCTGTAGATGGTCAGCTTGTGCACGAGCAGATCCGTTTGCGCTCTGTAAACTCGTTCAGTCTATCCACTATCAAATTCTGTAAATAGCGAATCCACCAAGACACACCCAGTACTCATTAAAGGGATACTTCACCCAAAGATGAAAATTCTGTCATCATTTACTCACCCTCAAGTTGTTGCAACCCTGTATGAGTTTCTTTCTTCTGCAGAACACAAAGGAAGATATTTTGAAGAACGATTGAATCTTTGGCACCATTGACTTCCATAGTAGCCTATTTATTTATTTATTTATTTATTTTTACTATGGAAGTCAATGGTGCCAAACAACTGTTTGGTTCCAATCGTTCTTCAAAATATCTTCCTTTGTTTTCAGCAGAAGAAAGAAACTCATACAGGTTTGCAACAACTTCAGGGTGAGTAAATGATTTTTGGGTGGAGTATCCCTTTAAGAGAATAGGGACAATTCTTTCAGACCATGCGCCGGGCGTGCTGACCTTAGATATGTATATAAAGGCTAGATATGTCGTCCACGCTGCTGGCCAATGGAGTTCGACGTCTGCACCTGGCGGCCATCTTGTCACAGGTAGCTCGCTCACTCATAACATTGTGTTAATGGTACATGTACTTTTTAAATGACCATAACTTGCTCAATTTTCTACCGATTTTCAAACGGTTTGTTTTGTTATAAACATCAGAGATGTAGTTATGCCACTGCATATACTTATGAATAAAAAGTGTATAAATAAATAATCATCCAGATAATTATAGCCACGTTAATAACGTTTGTAAGAAACCAAACCGTTTGTAAATCCGTCATGATTTCAACGAGATAAGAGTATTTGTGTTCGTGCTGACCACTCATCTTACATCAGCTTGTCTGTGACAAGATGGCCGCCGGTGATGACGATGGAAACTCCGCCGTAACACATCTAGCCTTTATATACATATCTATGGTGCTGACCATTTTTCCCGTCAAGCAAAAGTGGATTCGGATACGCCCTAAATGCACTTGCGCCGTGAGCTTTAGACCATGTGCTTAGCTCCCTTTAAATGACATTTACTGTCACTTTTGTTTAATTTACTGCTTGCTTGACTGTTTCTCATAACAACAAAAGAAAATCTGAACCTAAATTTTTGAATGGTAGTGTATATATTGTTTCATATAATAACACGGCGGAATATACAGTTCTACTCATAAACAGCATGTTACAAAACTGAAATATGTATATTTTCAAGACTGTACTGCCCTCTATTGGCCGATTGTTACAGTAACTACAGTAATTTTTGTGTGTGTGTGTGTGTGTGTGTGTGTGTTAAGAGCAGTAGTTATTTGTGCCATCTGTTTTCTTGCTTAAATGACACTTATTTTCTCTTCTTGTCAGGTACGTCTGAAAGGACCCAAGCTTTTGGAACATTCCCTGGCAACTATGTGGCACCAGTTTAGGAGCTTCCACCAATTCTTCCTGGCAGATTCTATTTCACTGACACTACAGGCTCAACCACTAATCAATGCAATATACATTCTGTCTGTATGGTCACTGTACACTATATACAAAACTACTGCCCCTCTTCACACACAAATGTATTCTTACAAATTCTTCCTTCACATCCTCCACCAAGCATGTGCACTCCTCACCTTATTACTATGGCGCCCATGTTCCCATAGTAACTCCTACTGATGTTGGACACAGATGGGTTTGTCACAGTATGATCACTCACGTGTGTATTTGTGATGAATCCACACTGCATTATGGTTTAATTGTCATTACATTCATTTATAACCCCCCCGACACTATTGACATTATCTTAGCTGACTTTCTCAATTTTAACGTCTTTGTAAAGTTAACCTCCATTTTGGTTTCAGATTTGCTATGAACACTACATATCCTGAGGATCTGGATCTAAGACATGGTTAAAAAAACTCTTCTTTTTTATATTACGATCATCACAGTTGTCATTTACTTGCTGGCTTAGCTGCCCGTCACATCATATTATAACAGCCGCAATCTTTGCAATCATTATCAAGTGTCTGTTAACGCTTAATGCAGTTGCCTCCAATTTTTTTAAACTGGTTCACGTTTATTGTGCAACAAACCCAGTATATGCAACATTATTTTAAGCTTTATGACAGGGAAAGTGTTGAGGCAGTGCTGTTTCAAACTCTTTTGTATGAATAAGTCTCCTGTTCAGAGAAAAATCAGTTCTAGGTTCCATCCAAACTAGATTAAACATGGTTTCTGACTATATAAACTATTTAAATCCATAGGCCTATCTAAAACCATATTCAGTTGAACATACATTAATGCAAAAGGGCCCACACCAAGGACGAAACATGGTTTCTGACTATATAAACTATTTAAATCCATAGGCCTATCTAAAACCATATTCAGTTGAACATACATTAATGCAAAAGGGCCCACACCAAGGACGAAACATGGTTTCTGACTATATAAACTATTTAAATCCATAGGCCTATCTAAAACCATATTCAGTTGAACATACATTAATGCAAAAGGGCCCACACCAAGGACGAAAACTATAACGATACAGATAGTTCTGTCCCTTTAAATGCTCGAGCTTGTTACAGCATAATGGATTCTGATTGTGTCAATGTTTTTATTATTTATCAGCTGGATAAAACCGTTCTGAAAGTGATGCCAACGATATTATTTCTCTGCTGTTATCATTATATCTTTGGTTTGAACTTTTACTTATTTATGGTTATCATCATTGGTGTTAATATAGTTAGTTCGTTATAGAAATCGTTATAAATATAGAATAATAGCAGTCCACATCACAACAACGATGGTCACGGCATAGTGACACGATATTGTTGGAGTCACTTTCTCATTTTATTTTATTTTTTCCAGCTGATGAACGACATCCAATCAGAATCCATCCGGCTTCACGAGATCGTGCTTTTAAAGTGACAGACGTCAAAACTGCGCGCGCATAAAATAAACAAGAACCATATTATTTGCTGGTGTGGACGCTATTAAAGTTATCATTTTCGTTATCTTTATCGTTCTTAGCGTTCTTAGATCAAACGAACGTCATGATTTGCAGTTATAATCATTCACAGTGTAAAAAAAAAAAAAAAAAAAAAATCTACAGTAAAAATATCTAAACATTAATGAAACAAGAGTTATTAGCCTACCTGTGTGCTTCTTGAGGAGGAAAATTGTATTAGGTAACATTTAGAGATTATATCTTGAATTGAGTTTACATATGGTGGTACTTTTCTTGTTTTAGCCATAAATCTTATAATTTATTTTGATTTATGCTTGAAACAAGAACTAAGAAAACTATGTATGTCAATCATGATTTTACAAATTGAAACCAACGCCTTAAGATGAAGTCAGCTTGTGTTTGTCAACACAAACGTTGCACAGTGTTTTTTTTTTTTTTTTTTTTTTTTTTTTTTTTTTTTTTTTTTGCACAAGAGCTGGAGGAGGTCTTTTTACTGTGGGTTTATTATAGCTGTAAAAATGGTTGTTGAAGATGCCGGGTGTTCATTCTATTCATTTGAATTCCATCATTAACTCCTTTTGTCTTCTGTTTTAATTTTTATGGGAACTGAAGTATCTGATTGCATTTTGTTGTACAGATTGTTGAATCGTTATCGCACAGTTATCGAATAATGGGGGGGAAAAGATAATATATTTTTATTGACACACAATGTATTGTAGAGGGTACTCACAGATTTTGATAATGATCAAATAAATAACAGAAAAAAAAAACCATTGGTTGCTGTTACTTTCATTAAGCGCCTAATTTTTTACACAGTCCAATATGAATCCCTTTCAGTGCCTGGTCTACGGTTCTGCTGTTATCCATGAGCTGTCTTTCATCAGTCAACAGAACAGAACAAATGAAATAATCTTGAGAACATGATGTCGTCTATCTTTCAGTGAAAGGCAATTATCATTTTACGAAACATACGCAGATGAACAAGCTTAACTTAATGTGTTTTGAGTTTGTATTGATTGATTTTATGAGATCTGGAATGCCAAATGAAACATAAAGCATGTTCATGTAACAAAACAGACAAATAATAATACATCTTTTAAATTCTGCAGTTTTTTTTTTTATTTTTTGGTAGATTTGTGACACTGCACTGATAAAAGCTTTATACTCAGCCCTTTTTATGATGCCATAACCGACTAATTCTAGACTTGTGGAAAAAAAATATATATATATATATATATAAACAAAGGTTTTAAGATTTGTAAAAATAATTATCAAATTATTGCAATTAAATTAAATGACCAACAAATAGTGTATTATTTAATAGTGTTTTATTTAAAATAATAATTGTTTAAAATAATGGATTTATATTTGACTATACATTAAAATATAACAAAGTCATGCAAAGCTAAATTTTCATTAGCCATTACTCCAGTCTTCAGTGTCACAAGATCTTTTACAAATCATTATAATATAATGATTTATCAATGTTAGTTCTAACAGTTTCTAAACAGTTGTGCTGCTTAATAATTTTATAACCTATGATACTTTTTTTTTTTTAGAATTCTTTGATGAATAAAAAGTTACAAAAAGAACAGCATTTGTTTAAAATATAAATATTTTTATATATAGGGCTATATAAAGTGAGGAAAATAAGTATTTGAATACCTGCTATTTTGCTATCCATGTTGTGTAAAGACAGGCTTTTGCAGGTTATCAACTTGGTTTTGCAGTTTGTACTAATTGTTTTGAAAACTGCATCAACTGTTGTGCAAATGTAGGCTAAATAGTGATGTAGAAATGCACTAAAGCGACTGAGAAAATAATGTAAATCCTTTTAGTTGTCATTGTCAGCAGGTGGCGCACTAGCACGAAGTCTAATAATAATTGCTCTTAAAATCATATTTCTGTTTCATCCCACCTACTCGACCCGCCCCGCGTGCCACCCTCGCGTGCCTACCCCCAGCCTTTATTTTGACAGCAACACGTGGCATGAGAGTGAGGAACGCGCGCATGATGCTCATCATCTCTACAGCGGAAACATTCTTGGGAAAAGTTTGAAAAAAACCTGGGCGGTGTGGGAATTTGGTCACATGGAGTGCACTGCCTAAAAACTGACGCGCTGAAAGTGTCTCAATCAGTTCTGCTTTAGGAAACTGACAGAGTGAGACTGTAGCTACAAGATTAGCGGCGATTCTCCGCGCTCACACAGAACGCGTGCGTGGTTTTGACGTCATCCGCACAGGTGTCAAACCCAGCGTTGTGATTACACTCCTTACCGCGCGACAACTCGTTACCAGGTAAGCGCATTTCCCCCCCTTAAGTTCTTCAAGTTTAGCAGACATGTACCGTTATTATGTTGTATTTTTTAATTTTTAGAAGTGCTACATATTCATACTGTGCCTTTGCGTAACACTTCAGGTGAGAAAATGGCATCAGTTCAGCATCCTTTAGTCTTTCACTGTTACTACTACTGCAGCAACGCAACTGTTTTATTGCATCCGCAGTTTTTTTCTTGTAAAGTCTAACTATCCTACGCAGAAATTGTCGAATAACTGAGTGTTTCAGCTTGTTTAAGTGATGAATTGCGTCTAATGTGCCATGTAAATCGACACAACAGCTGTAACACTGCAGCTTGATTCAGAGGAGTATGCATGTAGTTCTCCATCAGTCAAAAGCCCAATTTTCAATGGGATACTTTACGGTTTGATTATATTTTTAAAGCAGATTTTTAAAAACGTCAAAATCAGACCAAACTACTGTACATTTAATGAGATTAAACTATTGACAAACTTATTAAATGGATACAAATAGTAAAGGGTTAAAACGTTTCTTTTGCCTTGCACAAAGACCAAAGAGAACAAATGGGACTATGTGAGACTATGTGACAAGTTGATGGAGTAGGTCCTAATGGATTGTGAAAACCTTGGGACACCCTTACATTTTGAACATGACTATGAGTTGGGTTTAGAACATAACCAGATGTTATTCCATATAGAGCTTTAAAACGTGTTGCGTTATAATGGACTCAGATTAGAAACAGTAGTTAAAAGAGAAAATGTATTTTATTTTTGGTGTGATAAACATTATGAGATTATGTATGTCAGTGTGCACTGCATTTGCAAAGAACATTTCATTTGATGTGCCTATAATGCCCAAAAATGTTGTCAGGCAGCTCATCTGGTTTTGAGACATTTCTTCATTTGACATTGAAGAGAAACTAAAGTATGTACAGTTGTTTTTACTACTTTGAGGGTATGGATTTTCTTGTATTCGGGTTGAGGTTCTACTCCAGGACAGACTGGAATAATTTGGATTCAGTTATGCAGAATAATGTGAAGGGGTACAGCTTAACTCGTCAGGCTTCAACAACACTATCCAAACTTGCATGGTATAGCCTCAAAAATGAATCTAGATGTCTGGCTTATAGGAAGTTGTATTAAAAAAAAATCACCAGTTTCTACCAGCTGCTGTGATATTGTTGCTGTAACACAGCTCTCTCTAGGTTTAAAGTGAGCGGAAAGCAGTTTTGAGGCTGGGCACTGAATGTGAATGATGACTGGGCAGTGCTTTTGAATGGATGGGGGAAAAAGCCAGACATGTTTCTGTATTCACATGACCAAACCCATTGGAAGTGCTTTTGTACCTCTCCATTGTCTCCACCTGTGCAATTCTTCTCTGTCATCACTCGATTTTTACCTTCTCGCTCTCTGTTACTCTGCTTTACCCAATTTTGATCACCTCAAAACGCACATTCTCATTCATCTGTTTTGTTTACGTTTCAATTCATTGTACTTTTTTTGGTGCGGCAATAAATAATTTTACAGCCCACTTGATCAAAGAGTTGCGCGTGCATTTTGGCAACGGAAGTGATGTTGTTTACCACTGGCTCTAACGTGTTAACAACTCCAAAAGTTTAGTAAAACGGCTTCCCAGCTTCAAAATGTCTGGTTGTTGCCTTTACGGTTACACTATATTCGTATATCAATATCCCACCAAAGTGCGGAACATCCAATAGGAAAATTCAATTGCAGTAGCCACCGTTCAACCTGAAGCGGGCAGCACTAAGGCCGTGTGTCCACCAAAGCGTTTTTCCACACACCTGGCGTATGTTTTCAATTGTTTTCAATGGGAGTGCTGCGTGGTTTTTTTTGCGTTTCAGAGGCGCTGGTCGTTTTTTTTTCACGCTGAAGCGCCGAGTGCCCAGCGTTTTTACTGGTCGCTGGGAGTTGAAAAATAAATATTCAACTTTGGATAAAACGCAGCGCTCATCACGGTCACTTTTTACCCAGTCGTCTAATCACCGTGAAGGAGGGGCGGGACTAATACCACACCGACCAATTGTCAACATTCAAACTGCTGCGGATATTCTGTATCATAGCAACGAAACGTCTCAACGGAAAAAAACACTGCGCTGCCAAATCGCTCTCAAGCGCCCAAAGCACGGCGTTCTTCAGCAGAGCGTCTGGCGTTCTTCAGCAGAGCGTCTGGCGTTTTCAGCTGGCTAAAAACGCTTTGGTGGACACACGGCCTAAGACATTTTTACACCATATATTGTAGATATAAAACACTTTATACACAAATGTCAAAAAAGTTACTTGAATCAATGACTGGTATTAATAATTTAGATCCATTCTTACAGATCATTAACTAAAAAAAAGTTACTCTTTAAAGGTTCCAAATTTTGTTTTGGAAACACTTTACAGTCACTTTACAAAAACACTGTAAGATTTTTTTGAAGATTCAGGCTGTGTCCGAAATCGTATACTCTCTTGAGTAGGTACTGTACTTATTACTTCATGCTAGATAAAAAAAGTATGTACCATGTAATATGCATGTAATTCAGACGTACTACATCCACCATGCTTGCTTTATCATGTGACTAGGGTTGGGTATCGAGTATCGATTGGAACCGGGACTAACTTTTCGTTTTTCCCGGAATCGTTCAAAAGTTAAAATTTCGATTCCTAGTTTCGATATTCACAGGCCGCCGAGCGGAAGAAAAAACCGCTGAACAACACCAACGAAGAAGCGTCTACCAGAAGTGTTGGCATAACCGCGCGAGTCGAACATGAGTAGCTTATGTTTGGCGGTCCAAAGTGTGGCTTCACTTTTTTTTTTAAATTAACGAAATCTCTGCAAAATGCAAAATTTGTGACAA